TTCCAAGTACAGGTGAGGGCAGATAATGTTGGTCTGCTGTGAATTCTGCATTAACACATTGAGATTACCTTGACTCATAAGGCTGCGTCCCCATCCCGGGAACTGCTGGAAAGAGATGGCTGTTTTCATTCACACTGTGGCTCTCTGTTAGAAAAGGCCATGTAGGTGCAATCAAGATACAGAAAGGCTGTGTCTCACCTGAGGTCACACAGGAAAAGGAGTTGAGGCCAGATCTTCTGACCTCTTTTACCTAATATTGTGAGCACTGATTTTGTTACTAAGTAGTTTGAAAAGCTGGAAATTTGTGACTCCTGAAAAGAATTGACAGCCCCCAAGAGAAATTCTGACAGCCCTCTTTGTGTAAGCAGTGCTGGGGGATTGCAAATGTGTGCCCTGCAGCAAAAAAATGGGGCCACGGAGAGTGGTTTTGAGCTCCAGATGCAGAACATGGCAGCTCCAGGTGTAGAGGCAATGGTTTGTCCTCCCTTTCTGACAGCAGAAACACTCCTGTCTCCACAAGGACAAGTTCCGTTTCCTTTGAACACTCCCTCCTGGATGTGCAGGGCTAGAGCACGCAGCAGTTGTTAGCAGTGAATTTGGAAGCTCCTGGTGGTTTCTTCTCTGAGCTGCGCAGCGCTCCAGGTTTCACAGGGATGTCCTTGTGCCAGTGTGGCAGTATGGGGACGGCTGGGGGAAGCCTCCATCTCCTGAGGAGCTCCCAGCTGTGTCCTGTGCTTTTTGCCAGGGACCAAAGTGCCCCCAAGACCAGTGGTCTAAAGCTACTCATGGGCTGCAGGGATGCAGTTATTCCCAGGGGAAGGTTGAGCACGCAGCCTCTGTCCTGATGCTACAGCACTGAAATGCTTTTTGGAGCCGCAGTTCAGAAGAGGCTGGGGCACGAGGACATCTCTGGAGAACAGAGGCCTCAGCCACCCAAGTACAGAGCCACTGTGGTGCCCACGCTGCCCTGTGAGCGGCACTGGTGACACATGCACCTGCACCACTCTTCACCGAGATGGGAAACCAGCTGGACAGTGTCCTCCAGTCACTGACACACCAGGCTCTGTGCTTGGTGTTGGGCTAAGGGATGCTTGGAGCCACCACCTGCATGCGAGAAGACCTTTCACCAGGGACATTTCACCAGGGCACTGCTGACTGTGCCAGACTTCGCGTTCGCTTTCCCAAAACACGTTCTGCTAGGAAGAGCTCTTTGGATCACAGCAGAGTCCAGTAAAGTTAACAAGATCAACATTTAGACCACAGATTTCATAGACAGGTAACAGTTCATCAGTTAGGGCCAGGTGAACATCGTAATTTGGGCTAATTGAAGGGGAAAAAAAAGCGCCCTGGTAGGCCTAGTTCCTTAGCTCTATCGACTCTTCCATAGGAAAACACAAAATTGCAACGTTCTTACCTCTTACTGTTTGTTCTGTATCTGGTTTTAGCAGTCGAAGTGACAGTACTCGATCTCCTGTCACCCGCTGGGCCCTGGCAGCATAAGGAAACCAGTCTCGGGCCTCTACCAACAAGTTCCTTTCCAGCTCGGTGCATGTTTTCCTTCAAGAGAAGCACATGTCCAAGAGGGGCAGCTACAGCTAAGTAGAAGCAGCCTCTGCTGCTTCTGAGGGCGTTTGGTGGCTGCTGGGCAGCAAGGTGAGAACTGACTGGCTTCAACACACTTCCCTGTCATATCTCCACTGTGATGTATGTAAAGTATCTTGTATGTTACAAAAGGATTTTAAAAAGTGTCTTAAGGCCTGTAAACTCCGCTATTTGGTCTGAAGATGGCATTCTGTAAAGAGACTGCTGTGTGAATACGTTCCCATGCTTTGTCCCCTATGCTATCAAACAACAAACCATATCTGTTCTGTATGTAATAAATGTGTTAACATCAGCAAGTGTGGGGTGTCTCGTTCCTATAAAGGCAGTGGGGTTTCTGCTCTGTCTTTAGTAACAGCAGGACACTTGAAAGGGTGGGGATGGCAGCTTAGTTGAGCAATTCAGCGGCAAGCAATGAGGTGTGGATTGCTCCCTGGGTCAGAGCGGGAGGGGCTGGTCCTGCAAGCCACGGTCCAATCTATAGCTTCTCCCAGCATCAGAAATAAAAGGCGGAAAAGACAACCATTGGGCTGCTGGCTAGCTGCAGCTGTGCTGTGGTGTCCCATCAGGTGAGCTGCCAGGGTGACCACATCAGACCCAGCTTTCAACAGTTTGCCAACGTCCCCTGTCAGTACAGGGTGGTACTTCACAACGTCTCACGGGAATCGGTGACATTCAGCGCTGCAGGAAGCGAGTTCCCCGGAGTCCCAGCAGCACTTAGACATGTTTGTATTTATTTTGCAGAACAGCATTAGGGCTGTAGATAGCAATAACAGAGAAGGGAGCCACCTCCCTACACCGGGAGCAGCTTCTGCCCTGAGCAGGGGTGGTCCCTAAAGTGAGTCACCTCCATGACTCCCCCTGCACTGCAGTCCTGTGCAGGACAAGAGGCAGTGCCTGCTGGGATACTAGAAGCACCTCGACAGTGAAGTTTGGAAACGGGTCCTGGGACCCATCCCGCTCACTGGGGCTGCACCCTTCCATACGGCCAGGAGCAGCTTCAGTGAGGCACTGGGTGAAGTGCAGCCATGGCTGGCACCCCCCTGGGTGGCTGAGGAGGGGGGTCACTGCTGTCCTCCTTCAGACAACGCCCCCTGTGCTGTTAAACAATCCGGGAAGTTGATGCCCAGGTTTGAGAGTCACGGCAGAGCTCCCAGCATTTTCTAGGCATTGAATCCAACACTCAGCAAACCAGGGCTGTGCAGCTTTCCAGAAGGGGACCTTCACAGTCGGACAAGGCTCTCAGGCTGCCCAGGGCTCTGTGTGAAGATCACCCCACCACCCCACCCCCAAGCGTTAAGGCCCTGAGGTCACCAGCAGGCTGTGACTGTCCTGATCAGCCCCACCTGGGCGCCCACCCATACATGGCCCCTTTCCACCCACGGCTCAGGAGCCTCATTTAAACACAGGCTGGGGCCTTCAGTCTTTGCCTGAGCTGTGCCTGTCTCCAGCTGCTCCTAAATGGACCCCTTAGACCTGGAGATTTAGACTAGATGATCTTCAAGTGTCCCTTCCCACCCACGCCATTGCATTATTCTATGCCTTATGGTGTATTATCTCCATCTGCTTTTTGCTCCTGGTTGGGGTTCCTGGATGCATGCTGGTTGCGGGTCATTTCTTGCCTTGGCCAGGACTGTTGACGGACCCTGTTACCAGCACTTGGCTCTGCCCACTGTGGTCAGACTCTGGGGGCCTGTGCCCCATTGGGGAGGGCACTGCCTGTGCTGGGGTTATGTTCAGCTCCTGGCTGGGCAGGATAGAGGACAAGCTTGTTCTACTCGTCCCATCTAACTCACATCTTGCCTCCATCCCACCTTGCTCGTCCTTGGTTTGTGTGCTGTTTCACCTCAATCATGGTGAGGACAGTGAGGCACCAGCTCAGCCAGCGCTTGGCAGCAGAGGCTATGGAACCAGAGCAGCTGCTTTCCATCAACTGCAGCTGCAGCAGGAAGTCTCACAGCCTCAAACTGTTTGTGCCTTTAGCACCACTCTGGATTTTCCCCTCCCCTGGACTCTCCCATTGCTTCTGAAGCCAGTGAACCAGCCCTGCTGTGTGGCCTGCCGCACTCCTGCCACAACAAAGGGACAAGAGCCCAGCTCTTCCCAGCCTTCGTGCCTTGTCAGAGGACCAGGGCTTGTGAGAAAAGCCTTATTCCATAGCAGCTTAATCCTACAGAAGCCTCTGGTGAGGAACCCCATGGAAGGCCAGGTAGCCGACGTTGATCCGTTTGCTCCTGCCCAATGACAACCTTTTTCCCGGTGGCTGGGGCCACGTGTTTCCCTGTCCCACCTGCGCCTGCCATGCACCAGGCAGGGCAGAGAGTCCAGTTTTTGCTTGCCCTCAATAAATCCCTTCAGGCTATTTGGGATTTCAGGATGCTGCAGCAAATGGAGCAGCACCTCTTGATTTAACTACTACAGCAGACAGGAGAACTAAATAGCCACTTCTGATGGGAGCTGATCTGTGGGGTTACAGACCACAACAGCTCTTGCTCCACCCGCACCCACACTGGACCCTCCAACAGTTCCTGACACAGCAGCAGAATCCACAGCCACCACAAGAGAAAATGAACTGCTAAGAACCACACTAAGGGGCTGCATGTTTTAATGTTCACCGCAACACGCTGCGCTAGAACAGGTAGTAATTTGTGACTGGCTTCAAATAGTAAGAGCCAATCCTGTATACTTCACATCACCAGAATTAAAACGACTTCTGTCTCCTGACAGCTGTCTCTGGGAATAATAGATGGACAGCTTTGGATAAGCTTAGGATCCAAAGCCAAGTTGTGCTCCTCCCATGTTGTTCATTGCCATCATATGTGACTAACGCAGATGATTCTGCAGCGGTTAAGAGGAATCTGATGCTGTGCCTGTATTTGGTAAGCTAATGGCTCTGTATTTGGACCCCAAGATCATGTCCATGCACTGAAAAAAAGTACCAAGTTTTCTTAGAACTGTGCTGCAGAAACAAGAAAACATTTATTTTCATTAGTAGATACATTTGTACACAGCTCTGTAAAATACCATGATATTCTCAGTCATTTTTCTGTGATTTATGTAGGACCCAATCTGAAAAATGTTCTTTAAAAACCTAATTTTCAAGCTGTAGAGGAAATGGTGCTCCTAAGAACCGTAGCTGGATGACAGGAGCTATGCATTCTGAGACTATACAGGGAAACAAGAAGGTTCCTCTGCTGACTGAGACCAAAGTTATGGGAAAAAAAAATAATCTGAATGTATCTACATCTTTCCTTTCAGATGAGGTGACTGCACAGGGCTGGGGAGAAATCTAGGAAACCTGCACACACCATACCACAGTGGACAAGAGGGTCTTCTGTAAGATGCCGTGCTTTTAACACACGGTGAGAGCATATGGGAAGCTCAGGACATAGAACAAGTCTTTATACTGGCGTCCCTACACCTTTTTTCTTCACACGCTGCAGGGGAGAGGCCATTACCTTCTCCAGATCAATCATTGGCTCCTCTGTGATGGGTTTTCCCTCTTTCTGCCACTGGGCAAGGATCATGGCTCGGAGCAGAGGCGGGTATGGAAGGTACCGAATGGTCTCCTCTGGGACTGAGGTGAATTTCTTGAAGGCCTCCTCCTCATGCTTGGGCACCACACGCCAGTCATGGTACATGACTTTGTCAATCTCTCTCATTTCTTCTTTGGTTTTGCCTGAGGAAAGATGACAGTGGACAACGCTACTGACAACAAACTCCCTCTGGGAAATGCAGCAAGTGTTGACTGTCTGGTATCAAAAATGCTGTGCCAGGCAATAGCAAAGGGAGTTTTCAAAGGTTTGGCAGTATCTCCCCTGCTATACTATGGGATCCCACTTCTGTCCTCAGAAATGAAAACAGAACTAGGCTGAACAGACTACAGGCACACTGTTCCAATTCTCTTTAGTTTAAAATGTCATAGAATAACAGAACGGTTTAGGCCGGAAGAGACCTTAAAGATCATCTAGTTCCCCTCCCCCCCCGCCCCGTCACCTCACACACACCTCCCCC